TCTTGGATATGGCCAATTCCAAGAAGAGGGGCCTGGGCGAGGGGCCATCAAGGAAGCAACCATCGAAGGATGTTGCTGCCAAGAGGGAGCCTTGGCCGAAGGCTCCTATAGATGCCAGGAAGAGAAAGGAGCCAATTAAGGCTAGGAGGAAGGAGCCTGCCGCCAAGAGGCCCGTTGAGCCCCTCCAGCCTTCGAGGGGTAAGAGGCTAGCCACGAAAGATCGTCTAGTTGAGGGCACTAATGTGAGGTCTCGTCCGCCGAGGGAGTGTCTTGTCGAGGGTGTTTTCGGGGGTTCCCACCAGTCGGGGCCCCATACTTCTTCTGCGTTTCGTGACGAGATGCCTTTATTGGCATGACGCATCTTTTGCCCCCCATTGGAACATCCGGGAGGGCGATAGCTTGAGCACCCTTGGGGTTGGCTGGGCCCTGATAACTAGGACACTCCTGGGTAGGGACAAGCATTCTTGGACCCAGGTTAGTGCGTAGGGTGTCCAAGACATCTTGCTGGACCGTATGGCCGAGGTGAGTTTCTCTTCCCTTGGTACTTAGCCAAATTTCCTTTTTTTTTTACTTGCTTTCCTTTTTAACTGATGGTCATTTCTCCTTTTTAGGCATCCTCCACTGTTGTCAGCCTCTGTGACAAGGTCGAGGTCTTCCTATTGCAACTAAGGGTCTCAGAGGAGAAGAGGGAGCAGTTGGAGCTGTGGGTGGCTGAAGCAAAAAGCGACCGAGAGGTGGTCACTCGGGCGATGCGTGAGGATAGCACCCGACAGAAGGATTTGGAGGCCAAGGCCATGGCCGAGAGGAAGTAACTGAGGGTTGCTCAGGCTTCTCTTAACGAGGCAGAGGAGAAGCTGAAGGCCATTGAGGAAAAGCTTCTACCAGCGGAGGAGAAGCTCGAGGCCACTGAGAAGAGGGCCGATGAGGCATCGACTCGGGCCATTGAGGAGTGGAAGACCACCCGAGCCTACCAAAAGGAGTTGGCCAGCTTCGATGTCATCTCTTTCCTAGAGGGCATTGAAGACACTAAGAACGAGGTGCTAGCCCTACAGCCTGTGTGGGAGGGGTATGGCTTGGGTGTAAGTGGTCTCTTTGAAAGAAAGAGAGAAGCCTGTGAGAAGGGGGATGAGATCTCTGGATTAAGGATGCGAAAATGAGGGAATTGGAGAGAGAGAGAGAGAACTCGGGGGTGTTGGGTGACAAAATTCTAAGGATTGGATGCTTTTCAATATGAGGAGGACCTCTATTTATAGGGGGGACCCCAAGATCCTAAAAGGTAGGAGATAAGGGAATTTGGCGACGTATCGAGAAAGGGAATATTTGATTTTGCTATTAATTATTGGGTGCACTACTGGGGTTTCACCACATTTCTCATGAGGATCCTCTTGAGGATTGGTTTTCCTTATCCTTAAGATCCCTCATTACTCATGTGTGCTACTCTTTTTTTGCGCATCATAACTAATCTCGCGTGGCATCAGTGACGTCACCATTTGACAGGCGGTGACATACTCTGTTTGTGAGCTTCAGCCTTCCCAGTTGCTTTGGGTATAGTAGTATCACCGCCAGTACTTCTTGAACTATTATTCTAGCGGGAAAGGAAGGAGCTGACATTATTGGTGGCCTAGTAAGGGAGAACCCCCATTGTGTGATCTTTGGATCGGTTTTTTTGATGTCTATTTCTTATCGATAATAGGTGGTTTGGCGTTCTGTCGAGATTCTGTAGTTAATGGCGGTTGAGAAGTTCTGTTAGGGATGGCCACATGGCCCCCATTGGTAGTGGCTCTTCGTTTGTCACTTCAAAATAAATGGGGGTCGGTCACACGTGTGGGGTGAGTTCGATATCCAATACGCATGTGGTGGCGGTTATTGACGTGGCATCTCTTTTGAATTAATGCGCCTCTCTAGTCCCGCCTTTCTAAGGGTATTTGGGTAAATTTTTGTAGTTGCTTTTTCGCTGAGTATCGATGTGCTAGATACGCCTTTCTTTAGGTGCATGACTGAGGAGTTGCGGGCAATGCAGCCCTCCATTCCTAGTCCTAGAATTCCTGAGGGTGTTGCGGGTGATAGACCCGTCTCCATGGGTCAGACGAGTTAGACGGGTCAGTCGGCTGCGGGTGACCCATTGTGCAGAGTCCACTGTTGCCGTTGACAACGTTGAAGCCCCCGAGGGTGTGGGGGTGGGGCTTCTGTTGAGCCTTGGTCCCCCATCGCAATGGTTGGCACTTCTAGGGATGCGTCAACACGGCCTGAGGTCAATGAGTCTATGGAGCCTGAGATGGAGACACCAAGCCCAATATTATCTTTCCTCCCAAAGAGTTAATGTACGAGGAAGAGCTGGTACAGATTTGGCGGGAGATGTTAGAGTACTGCAATAACCACGACATCCCGCTGTTGCACTTCCCGGTAGTAGATCCAGTTCTGGTTCAAGGTAAAGGCATGCGGTAAAGTATTTCCAATGCAGTTGCTCCATTTGCGTCTACCGCGATTCATGCTGAGTGGTTGCCGGAGGGGAAGCTGCATCCAGAGATTGTGGGTCCGGCGCTGAACACCATCGCCACGCTAATGAGTCGTGTGATGACCCACCCAGCGGAGGATTTATCTTGGATTGACTTTGCTTGCTGGGGTTTTTTGTCAATGGGCTTCTTCATATTGTAGATCGAGGAGCATGTCATGATGTTAGCGCATGCCTTCTACAAGGCTGGGTAGGACATACCTCAAACTGAATTGTTTCATTCGATGAAGGATGTCCGTAAGCACCGGAAAGTAGTTGAGGCAAGCATCACTAGGGTTAAATAAACTCAAGCGCCCGATGGAGGAATGCGCGTGGTAGAAGCAGATCCTTGCGGACTACAATGCGGAGCTGGAAAGCCTCAAGAAATTTGAAGAAATGAGTTGGGTGCTAGAGGTTTTTGCTGCGATGCGGGAGGAATGGGCCAAGTGATTATTGTATGTACTGGGTGTAAATTAAGGGAGGAATTCCCTAAAGTGTAATGAAACATTTTGGGATTTTTGAAATGTAATTTGAATGTAATATTAGTCTTAATGTAATCATTTGTTCAACTTCTTATCTAGTTGCTTTTGTGCACAACTGGACCCTATTCATTGTGAGGGCGGGTTGACAATAATTCGCACTTAATTTGGTTTTGATATAACACTCCGAAAAGGGAGAGATGGTGGGAAACTTATTATTCCTTTTGCCATTGATCACAATTTAATCATATGTGAGGTGGAGGCGAGGGGATCGCATGTATCCCGTAATTTGGTATGGGCATAGTAGGCTTAATTGCAGTTGAGCTTTGGTCGTAGTATAAATATAGGTTGAAATTTCTTTGTAGTATGTTGTTTTTGTGAGTACAATCATCGTGTGAGAGGGCTACGCCAATTAGTGTTGGTCAGCAAGCCCCCGCTGGGTTTTACCGTAATCAAATGCAAGCACATTGTCGCTTTATCGCAAATCATTAAAGAAGATGAGCAGTGTGAATTTGTCTCCTGAGGCGCTATCAAGAGGAGTTTACCCAGATAATCTTATATGAATAAGTAGCTAACCAAGGGATTGTGCTTGTATCGAAATGTTATCAGTTGCAAGAGAACACTAAGTAGAAGAGTCGAATTGTGGGATATGCGTTGATGTCTAGAAATGAACTTGTGCAGTGGGCACTTAGTCTATCACAACCAAACTTTGGGAAAGTAGGGTGTTGTTTGCAAGTCGAGTGTCATTGTTGATGTTGGGGCATGTGAAGTTTGTCCTCCCAAGTTTTGTTACTGTTGAACAGAGTATCTGTTCTTGTGATTTTGGTAGGGGTCATACTTCTTATCAACGGAGCCCCCCCCAATGATTTCACGGATGTGTGTCTTTGTCTGGGGTTTGTCAGGGCTTGTCTGTGCCTGAGATTACCAGGACTTCGTTCGTGCCTAGGGTTACCAGGGCTTTGTCTGTGCTTGGGGTTGTCCGGGCTTATCTATGCCTAGGGTTGCTAGGGCTTTTTTGTGCCTGGGTTGCCCGGGCTTACCTGTGCCTGGGGTTGCCAGGGCTTATTAGAGTGCTCGGGAATGCCGGGGATGTCTAGAGTGCCCGGGGTTGTCAGGCCTTTGAGTCACACCTGGGTTGCCAGGGCCTTCACATGGAGCACGCGACATTGTGGAACCGGACACGGAATGAGAGTGCCTGGGGTTGCCGGGTCTTTGAGTCACACTAGGGGTTGCTAGGGCCTTTGCCTGGAGCATGCAACATCGAGGAACCAGCCACGGAATGAGAGTGCCTAGGGTTGCCAGGGCTCATTAGAGTGCCTGGGGTTGCTAGGGCTTTGAGTCGCGCTTGGGGTTGCGAGGGCCTTCACATGGAGCATGCGGCATTGAGGAACCAGCCACAGAATGAGAGTACCTAGGGTTGCCACGGCTTTGAAAGCATAGTTAGACAGGTTGTAAGATATAAACAGGATATGAATGTAAACAATTATGTGGAACATATTGGGACAAATTGTAGTGTATCATTCATTTAACTACTATCACAATGTACAGATGCATGTATTGTTAATCGTAGGGTGAGAGGAAAGCAACTTCATCGCAATCAGAATTCTTTATGGAAGTAAAATAAACTTTATTGTTGAGCAAGCGGGTAGTTAATAAAGAGCCCTAGATAATAAAACATTGCAAATTTATTTATAAAAGATGTACATATTTTTGTGGAATTAATGAAACACAGAGTTATTCAAAGTAAGGTTTCAACCAGTAGTCGTTGATGGTTTCATCCTCTTCATCCGTGTCTATGGTTTTTAATACATAGTAGCTCGAAGTATGGGCCTCTTTTATTAAGTATGGCCTTTACCATGTTGGGGCAAACTTTTCCGTAAACTTGCCTTGCCTAACGTTGAGAGCTGTCTTTAGAACTTTATCCCTCGGCTTGAAATTCCTGGGCTTCAGGTGTCTATTGATGTTTGTGGCTTGGGCTTGTTTGTACTTGCTCTGATTGTGTGAGACTATGTCTCTAACTCATCGATTACCTAAAGTTTGTCTGCAAGTAATAGGTCCATGTCCTCTGGCTTGATCTTCTTGTCCATCGTGAAGGCTATCCTGGCAGATACGACTCTTATCTCTGTTGGGACCATTGCTTCTTGACCATACACTGAGAAGTAGGGCGTTACCTGTGTACTCTTTTTGATAGATGTGCGATAAGCCCAAAGAGTTTCTGATAGCTTATCTGTCCAATCCTTTTGATTATCGGCCACTGTTTTGCTCAACATCCTGAGTAGAGTTTTGTTTGTGACTTCTGCCTGACCGTTTCCCTGTGCATAATATGTTGTGGACATCCCTAGTCTTGAACCATACTGCCCTAGGAGATAACAGACTTCTTGATTTAGTGAAATTATCTGTGGCTACTATGATAAAGAAATACCCTCTAGAAGGTGGGTGTATTTTGCCTATTAGGTCTATCCCCTAAGTCTGGAATGGCCACGGTGTAATGACTAGGTGGAGGCTGTTGGCAGGTTTATGGATCCTTTCACCATGGATTTGACACTTGTGACATCTGTGCACGTGTCGCTGTGTATCTTCCATCATAGTTGGCGAGTAGAAACCTAGGTGTAGGATATGGTTTTGTAGAGCAAGTTTACCTTGATGAGCTACAGTTTAATAACTATGGGCTGCCTCTAGTACATCATCTATTTCGTCACCAGCCAAGCATCGCAAGGGTTTTCCAACGTGTCATTTCCGGTATAGCACTTTGTCTTGGAGGTAGAATCGCTTGACTTTAGACAATAGTTTCCTCCTCAATGTAATGTCAATGGGCAGCGTGTGGTCTTGCAGATATTCTATATACGTCCTCCTCTAGCCTTCTTCATAGACCATGAGACATTCCTTGCCATCCACCTGTGGGATGCACTTATCACATTCTCTTTGTGCTTTGGCAGTGCCCACTTCATCGTAGGCCAGTAATACCCTAATCTCTACAATCTTCGGAATAGGGTACATGTGATGTCTCAACAATTGGTCCTGTGTACCTCATTCAGCACTACTTCAACCTCTGATTTCCCTAGGCATCTCGTCCATACACCATCTGACTCTGCGATTGTCTGACTTCTCAGCTTGATGTTCTGTGTTCTTATTGTCTGACTTCTCAGCTTCTTGAATTATTTCGTATTTCCAATCATCGGTTGCTATTTTATGCTCCTCTTCAACCCGATCCTTTAGGGTGAAAATTGATTGTTTGTCAATTGACTGGATGGTAATTTCTATTGGTTCTATGCTAGATTGAATCTTGGACCCTAAGGTGGCTAGTGCATCAGTGAACCTGTTTTTAGCTCTATTCTAATGTTTGAAGTCTACGTCTATATCGTGGATCAGTTTCTGGATCAGGGTCCTATACAGTAAGATGGTTAATTCGTTCATTGTCGTGCTTCCGTCAAGTTTCCCAATCACCAGTTTCGCATCACCAATTACCTTTATCTTCTTTGCACCAACTTCTATTGCTTTAATTAGACCAAGGACCAGTGCTTCATATTCTGCTATGTTGTAAGACCAGGGGAGTTCAAGTTTAAAGGAATAGGCAGAGGTTTGTTCGTCAGGCGAGGTTAAGGTTACTCCAGCACCAGCCAAGGTGCTTGTGCTACTCCCATCGATGGTTAGGACCCACTCTCTACTTTCGGCCAAGGCGACCATTGGTGTATCTCTAGGGACTTCATCCAATGGAAAATCAGTAATTGATGGAAAGATGGCTAATAGGTCTACTGCCGCTTGACATTTGATGGCCTTTGGCTAGGTGTATTATATTGCGTACTCATTGAGCTGCATAATCCACTTGACAAGTCTACCAGATAGGGGAGGTCTGTCCATGAAGAACTTGATTGGGTTGCTTCATGCGATGAGCCTCACCCTTTGCCCTAGGATGTAGTGTCTAAACTTTTGTGTAGCGAAAACCAGTGCTAGACATTGTTGTTCCATGTGGGAGTAATTTTTCTCAACTGGTTTGAGGGTTCTGCTAGTGTAATATATTGGGAGTTCCACTTTGCTATCATCTTCTTGTGTCAGTAGGCATCCTAGGGCTTCTTTCCTTGTTGCGATGTATATTCTGAACTCTCACCCATCTTTGGGTGGTGACATTGTTAGGGCCCTAGCCAGTGTTGTTTTTAATTGCTCAAAGGCATGTTGATGCTCCTAGCCTACCTAGTAGCCTAGAAACTTCCCCGACTGTACCTCGAATGCGCATTTTAGCAGATTCAAGCTTAGTTTGAATTCTCTACATCGGGTGAAGACCTTCCTCAAGACCTTGGAATGATCCTCTTGCTTCTTTGCCTCCGCATTCTTCAGTCCAAAGGGCATCATCTTGTAGTAAAAGTTTCCTATCAGTGTTCTGAAGGTTGTGTGGGGTGCGTCTACAGTATCCATGAAGATCTGATTGTACCCACTATAAGCATCTAGGAAGGAGAAGATTTCATGTCCTACAGTGGAGTCTATCAATACCTCCATGTTGGGTAAAGAGAATTCGTCCTTTGGGCAGGCCTTGTTTAGGTCCCTAAAGTCGATGCAACATTTGCGATAAAGTAAAATTAGTGTTTGGGTGATGTGCTATCGCTAATGAAATAGGTGAGAGGGTACTAACCTTAGCTGTCCGTTTTTCTTCTTTATTGGGACTACGTTGGTTAGCCACTGAGGGTGTGCTATAGGTTTAACGGGTTGTCGAAGCCCTCAAAATTAATTCTAGTCTCACCTTACTATAAACTTATAGTAATAGTGGTACCAGGTCGAATCCCACAGGGAGCCAGTAATTAATTTCTCATCCGAATGCGCAATATAAAGAGTGAGAAATTTGAATAATTAAAATTCTAAAATAACAAAAGAGAAAATAACAACTAACAAGGAATATTCAGTCTTACCAACTCTGATCCAAGGGTTCAAATTGAGTCAAATGGTCATCGATCATAGGTAAAAATGATCGTGTTTTCCTAATAAACCTTGTGTTTTCCTAATTTAGTTTACCAAACCCAGCATTCGATCAACACTTATCATTGACCGACTGGGCACGACAGCATTCCATATCAATTAATGATAGAAATAACCTTTGTGAAAATAGTTAAATCAAAACAACAATAATTGAGACAACATTCCATATCAAAGGATATCACGAACAATTGACCCAAAAAGATATTAACCTAATTGCTACTTGTACCACTATTCATGACAATTACGGATCATCGAATCATGGATAGCAATAGGAAGATCAACACTAATTAATTTGTCAGACTAATTAACATTAACATCCATCGAGAATAAGCACAAGAATCAACGAATACTTGAATTAAAAAGCAAGAACTTGAATTAAATACTGAACCTCACGATGATACAATCGAACATCCCCCCTTGAACCAGAAAAGAAAAGCTTAACTGCTCATGATTTTCGAATCCTCCATGCTCTGCTTCTCAGAAGGCCGAACTGATCTTTCTTGATTGATAAAGTTTCTTGATGCTTGATTGATGGATTTTTTGATTGATGCCTAAAGTTGGTCCCCCCCCCCCTTTATATAGCTTTAGGAGGAGGGGCTCTCTCCAACTCCCTTTAGGAGATTAACTTTAAATTTAGAAAGTCCTAATCTGATCTACTTCTACCCTATCCTATCTAGTAATCTCAATCTCTAATCTTTTTAGGATTACAATTGAAATTTAAATCTGATAGGACTCTTCATTCTTGAATTCGAGTTGGGCTTCTTTAATAACTTGGGCTGCTACAGGACTCTTCTGCGAATTTGGGCTTCAGTTGTGGGTTGGGCTTTACTACGAAATTGTTCCGACTTAGGGCTCGATTTTGACCTCGATGCAGACCAAATCTGTCAAAACCCAAATCGGAGTCCGAGATCGAGAGTTATGCCCAGATTACTGAATGGTGCCGAAACTGTGCAAAATCATCCGATTAGCCTTGTTTTCTTCCAATCGCCTTCTTGCTTGCCCTGAATCGAAATACAAGAGTGATGAGTCCAATTGTGTGCTAAATTAATGTAAAAGAATCAATATTTGGGGATAAAAATATGATACTTTTTGTTCTCATCAAATCCCCCCACACTTAAACCTTGCCCGTCCTCGGGCAAGACAAAATTCAAACAAAAATAAAACAAGAACAAACTAACTATCCTACTGATTTTTAAACTCAACTCTCCTTCATCTTTTTCCACAAATATTCTAGGTTAAATAATGTGAAACGTTAAATCAACACAACCAATCCATACACGACTCATTCATCAGTCAATCCAATTTTTGCTACTGCAAACCAGGTAGTAAATCAGGAAAAACCTTTTTATCTTCTCTCTCATTTTATTTTCTTTTTCTCTCCTCTGAAGAAGTGAGTGCATTTTATTCTCTATCTCACTTTTGGATTACTTGGTCAATAGGTGCATTTTATGCTCCATCCTACTGTTTGAATTGGTTGGTCAGTAGGTGCATTTTATGCTCCATCCTACTGTTTGAATTGCTAGCTAGTAGGTGCATTTTATGCTCCGTCCTACTATCAGATGACTTGGCTGGTAGGTGCATTTTATGCTCCATCCTACCATCRGATTACTTGGCTGGTAGGTGCATTTTATGCTCCATCCTACTATCGAATTACTTGACCGGTAGGTGCATTTTATGCTCCATCCTACCAATTGTGGCAATGGGGAAGTATTTACCCTATTTACTTAAACCTGAATTTAGGACTAGCTTAACTGGAAATGGCTTCAGATAAGTCATGTACTCCTTGATCATATTTCCTTACTAGGTTCACAAGAATTTTCCATTTTCCTAGAACATTGTTTCAATTGATTCCAAATGAGTTGAGTTTTTTTTTTTTTTTTTTTTTTTTACACAAATGCAGTAAAACACGACCTAAATCAAATTTTAAAATACAACCTAAATCAAATTTTAAAATGCAACCTAAATTCTAACATAAATCCCCTCCCCCACACTTAAAACTTACATTGTCCCCAATGTTAGGTTAAATGCAAAGAAATGGTAGAAAAACTAAACTAGAAATGTAAAAACAAAAAGAAAAAGGAAAAACAAACTTCCCTATTTTTAATAATCATGAATCAGATCCTCTAACTCTCGTGGTTGCAACTTTCTGTGTTTTCCCCTTTCATCCATCATGGGCGGGTTCAAATCTGGAATAGGGGCCTGCAAAACAAAGGGTAACGATTTCTTCATATCCAATTGTGCACTCAATTCGAGCTCCTCATTCAAATCTTTTTCTTCAAACGTTTCCTACACAATTGAATCAAGAATGTCAATTGAACAAATCGAATGACATTCATTGGGGTACTTCATTTCTTCAAAAATATTAAATTTA